TGAACTCAGAGGGCACTGAGCCACATCCCCAGCCCTATTTTGTATTTTATTTAGAGACAGGATCTCACTGAGTTGCTTAGCGCCTCGCTTTTGCTGAGGCTGGCTCTGAACCCATGWTCCTCCCAAACCGCTGGGATTACAGGTGTGCACCACCGTGCCCAGCTCCAAAAGTATTATTCTTAATTCTCTTAACCAGACTACAAAATATAGAAAGTATCTAAGCTCTAAGCCTATAGTGTTTCCTGTGTACTAGTCTCAACTACTTTGCTTGACTGCAAACTAGAGCTTTTTCTGGATTCCAAAAGACATAGCTTAATTCTGAGCACTGGGCACAATGAAGACTGATTTCCACAGTCTTAGTACTGCTAAGTACTAAGATTTAACAAGAATAAAAACTATCAAAGCTTTGGGGAGATAAACAACAGTTACAATTTGAGGCAATAGGTTAAAAAATACATACCAGAATTTGCACAGTGATTTATAAGTTTGGTACTCTTTTAGGTTAAAACTTTAGAAAACAAAGTAAATCTCCTAATCATATGCATTCTAAACTAAGAAAAAATCCAGTAAAAAAGAAATCTGAACATAAAAGGACTTATATTTTATAAAATAGACTATATTTTAAAATGTCTGAAGTGTCTTAGAGGGAGATAATACTTAATGACTCCAAACTATAAATTTAAAAAAAAATGCCCCTTCCTGAAACCATTAAGTACCTTTACTATCACAGAAAGAAGAGGTTTCCTTAATGAAGAGACTCTGAGATGGGGCAAGACGCGGGGTGGCTCCACCCAGAAGGGCAGGCTGCTTGAGTTGGTACGTTCTGACTCAAGAGGTGGGCCTGTGCCTTTCCAAGCAGAGACCCTCTGAAGGCAGGGTCTTCCTACCTTAAAGGCAACATTATTTAGTAACTTCTTTTTTGGTGGAACACTTACATTTTCTTACGAAAACACTGGTGAGGTTCATTTCTGTATTTTACACTTTTGGGGTTTTAGATGATTAGAAAAATGGTAACTTTGGCTGGAGACAGCAGAGGAGGCACCATGAGGCAGCCGACAGACTAGAACAAAATAAAAATAATAGGAAGTGAAGTTTCTTTAAAAATTTGCTCTAGGAGCTGGGGCTGGGGCTCAGTGGTAGAGTGCTTGCCTGGCATGTGTGATTCTCAGCACCACATATAAATGAATAAAGATCCACTGACAACTAGAAAATATTGTTTTTTCAGCTCCTCTCAAATAATAATTGTATAATAATATTTCCAAACCACAACGGCAGTGTGCCAGGCAAAATCCTAAGCACTCACATGTAGTAACTTACAGCTCCTTTATGAAGTACATACTATTATTTTTCCTATTTTATAGATGAGAAGCTGAGCAAGGAGATATCAACTGAAAACATTATTCAACTATCTAGAAGGCATTTCTTTAGTCACATGTTCTAGTTTCATGAAGAATAGAATCATGAGTTAGATTTTTCTCCTGTAACATATCCTAGGTTTCTCTACAGGCAGAGAAATGGCTATAAGACGGTGCCCCTTTAAATACTAACAGAGATGCTGTAACTAGAAATATGGTGATCTGCACTGATGAACGTCTCTAAAATGATCTTGTCAATAACTCAATACTACAGTTAATCTGGGTATACAGACAATGTCATCTGCAACTAATGTCACCCTGATAATATTTAACCATCATGGGACAAACCAAAGGCAAAACACGTTTGTTCAGGTAAAGAAAGATTTTGCTGGGCTCAGTGGTAGAGTCACGCTTAGCATGCATAAGACTCCTGGGTTCCACCCCACCACAAAAACACAAAATAATTTTTAAAACAGCGATTATGTTATTTTTAGTGGACTGACTCTTATTTTTGACACCTAACGCTACCTTGATTTCCCGTGGAAGTGTGAGCCACCGAACTCCAGGGAGGTTGTCTAAAAGCGCTGCACTGGAAGCTTCGTACTGCCAAGCACTGGGACTGGCACAGGGAGGGGGGCTGGCATGCTGCAGCGCTCTTTGAAAGAACAAGGTGAAGAAATGATCCAAACGAGGAGCATTCTCAACCTGGCAAAAGGACCTGAAGGAATAAGAGCTGAAGTTAGGACAGCACAGGGAAACCGGCTTTGGGTTTTGTTTGTTTTTTGTAGAAAATGTAAGTTGCATTTACCTTTGACTATTTCTCAACCATTTATCACTCCCGCTATCTTTGAGGCAAAATGTAATAAAGAGATTCTGACCTTTGTAATAGAAGAGACTTGGCTTTGCAACTTACCACTGCTCTTACTAAACAGCTCTCATGGGACAAATCACCTAACCTCTCTCTGAATTTTGGCTTCCAACTCTGTGAAAAACGGGTTAATATAATTGAAGTCACTATAAACTACCTAGTACATAACATGCCTAAGTTTTTAATATGCTTATTACTAACTAGTGTAGCACGCAGTAAGTGAAAATACGGAACATAAATTATTCCTTTTTCCTCTCCATTACTGAAGGCATAATTATTGGAGGAGGGAGAAAGAAAGAATACTTGGTTTTAGCTATTTTAAAAGTAACACAGCACTAACTGCAATCATTTATTGGAACAGCTACTAGCTCACACATAACTGGTACATGGGACATTAACATGACAAAATAACATTCACTCCAGATATGGGCACACACCTGGTGTACCTGTAATCCCAGTGGCTTGGAGGCTGAGGCAGGAGGATCACACGGCCAGCCTCAGCARCTAAGCATGGCGATAAACAACTTGGTGAGACCCTGACCCAAAACAAAAAGGGGTGGGGATATGGCTCAGTAGTAAAGTACTTCTGGGTTCAAATCTCCATACAAAAGAAAAGAAAATAACTTTCACTGATTCGTCCAGCAAATATCTGAGTGCCTTCATGTTCCTGCACCATCTCAATTCCGGAGGCACAGCAGTAACATCAAGACAAAAGACAAGGAGCTCCGGGGGCCCGTGATTCTAATGGAGAGAGAATGAATGAGCAGCCGTGAAACCCTGCATACCTACACAGGACTACGCAGAGAAGAGGCTGATGGGAATGGGGGTCAGGACTGGTTAGTTATTCTATCTCCTCATTTTTATTTTTAAGCCTGGGTCTCCCAACATTGCCTAGGTTAGTCTTGTACTCTGGTTCAAGTGATCCTCCCATCTTAGCCTTCCAAGAAGTAGGAACTACAAGTGTGTGCCATCATGCCTGGCTACTTGGCTATTTTAGATAAAATAATTAAGGAAGAGTTTCTAAGCATGAGGCATTTATGCTGATATCCCAAGGAGGAAAGGGTATAAAAGCCTTAAGGCAGGGTAAGCTTTACCCCCCTGTACAGGGTAGAGAGGGGTGTGGTTTGAGGTCTGATGTCAAACAGGTGGAGAGGCGCCAGACAATAGTGTAGAAAGATAACTTTAACTGCTTTATGAAAATTAATTAAAGTGGCAAGAAATGAGGTAAGGACACCAGTCAGGCTACTGTAGTGTGACACAGCAGTGGCTGCGCAGGGCCACAGTGACGATGGAGAGGTTGGCTGGAATGGAGACATGCTTTGAGACACACCAAGATGGACTGGTTGGGAATGGTGGAGGAAAATGTTAGATCTTTAATTGGACCACAATACTAACCTGTTAATATGTAAATCCATTTTCTGTGGCTTACAGGRAACTAAACAGCTCAAAACTTTAAAAAGATAATTAGATCTTTGGACTTATAAAAATATTTTTGTAATTTTTCATGATGGGCCCTCAATATGTTCCATAATCAGAAAAAAACTTTGTTATTAAAATATTATAAAATTTCTATTAACATCTTGGGTTCATATTGCTTTTTAGTTTTAAGAATTCAGTGAATCTTCACATTTAGTATATTGGTTTATTCTTCAAATTCTCACTTGAACAAACAGAAACTAAATTTGCTTCCCATCTTGGAAATACTTCCAAATCAATGAAAGCTAACTTCAAGAGGAGATTCAGAGAAACTGAGTCCCTCTGCCCCCAACCTGCTTCACTGGAAATTCTCAGAGCAACTTCAGTTGACTGTTTCATGTATTAAAAGTCATTGCAGAAACTTAAACTTTGATAGTCTCTCATTTTATGGGTGCAAAAAGCTTTGCTGTACTTGGTGCAATACAGCAGTTTGCTTCTCTAGTGCAAATTTAAGGAGGTAGTTCATAATTACACTCTTACTCTTCACTAGTTAAACATTTTCGGATTAGTGAAAGGTAAAGGCACTATGTATAGATGCCTGCTTTTTGTAGCTCACTCACGCAGGCAAGTAATCAGGTGGGGAGGAATGTGCTGACCTCTTCTAGGCTCCTCCAGTAAAACACTGCAAACTAGATAGTTTTGACAGATGACATCATCACAGAAAATTCTCCATGATGCTTTGAGAACAGTTAACAATAAAGATCCACCATAGAGCAGAACACCATGGTTTGGAAAAATGATAAACTGTGTTTGGATTTTTATGCTGATACGCTCTCAAGGCTTTGGAAGCAAAACTATCATTTTAGCCCTTAGAAGTACTAAACGTAGAAAAATCCCACTAAGAGAAAAATCCATTTTACATCCATGATTTTGCATTCTTGAATGTTGAATAGTTATCTCAAATTTCCACCTTCAAATCAAGAAATGTCCATCGAATTAAAGTGTAAGGCTAAAAAAGTGAGAAGCAGAAGGATATGTATAATACGGGCTCAATGTGTAAAGAAAGAGCATATACATTCATATTGTGTAGAAAATATATAGAAAAATAACATGAAAATGTTCAGTGCCTTCTCTGTCGTATATTTTTTGTACCAGTGCATTCTGTAAGTAAATGTTTTTTGAGAAAGAAACATTGTATTTTAGGACAGTGAATTGGACAATGGTCTTAAAGGAATAGAAAATACAAAACTTTATTTARAGTCTTACTTTTCTCTGTATCTGTTATGGAGAAATCCTCTGACATTTGCCCCTACAGAAATATACCGACTCACTAAGTTTTACAGTGATCACTATATAATATAGTATCACTAGTCCACTAAAAATTTCATTAAAGTAATAACCCTCCCCCAAAAAAGGAAAAAAAGAAATGGATCAAAAGAAAAACTGCCCAGCATTACAGAATAAAAACTAGTATAAAATGAGACAATTAAAATATGGAAGAAGAGAGGAACCAAACAGGTAACTTCCCAAGCAAGAAATAGTACTAAGGGCCAAAGGTGATACAGAGTCATGTATTTAAAACTTGAGAGTCAGCTCAAAGAAGTACTTACCTATCTAAAGAACCATACATAAACGTTAAAGTTTGGGCAACATCTTCTATCATATTCCTTAGCTGAGGAAGAGGAACTCTAAAAAAAAGCAAAACATATTTATTCATTTGTAATAATCAATGATAGATATCTAAAAGAAGCAGAAGACTTTTACATTTTATATGTAAGGTGTATGTCAACTATGAGCTGAACTGTGAAAAATGTTTGCTTACTACATTAGCAATCAATCACTCTGAGGTCTAGATTTGGGCTTCTAGTATGAATCAAAATGAACTTTTYATATCATCATAATGTAACCCTCTTTAGAGTTCAGTCTCTGTATCTATGAAATGGGGCCAATAATCACTAAGTCCTTCTCAGGTTGATTTTGAGGATTAAATGAAACAATTAATGAATCAATGTAGTTAGCATAACACCTGGGGCAAGAGAAAGAAATGGAAAATTCTTTTTTTTTCTAATTCACTTTTTTTTATTGTTGGTTGTTCAAAACATTACATAGTTCTTGACATATCATATTTCACACTTTGATTCAAGTGGGTTATGAACTCCCATTTTTACCCTATATACAGATTGCAGCATCACATCAGTTACACATCCACTGTTTTACATA